TTTGTTTCGTGAGAAAACGGCTCCAAGCCACATGAACACAAATGAAGCCAGAAGCAGGCCAGAAGTACGAAGGTTATACAAATGTGTGCACTACCCATCATTCCCATGCTCGCTCATGCGCCGTGCGTTGTAGCTCCCGTAAACACTAGCGCCACAGTTCCCTCTAGTGTATATTAAGAAACTCTATGCTAGTGGGCACTCGAATACTAGCGGTTGGCTACACCGCGACAACAGACAAGCTTCGACCTTGAGGAGCTTCGCCCTTGAAAGGGTGACTCAGCCTCAAGTTCAAGGTAGATGCAATATGAGAGCATAAGTTGAGCTTAAAATAGTTTTGAAATATAGCTGATTGAGTGTCAGAAATAATTAGACAAAATTACCGGGGGCTACATTTTGTTAGTAGGATTTCTAAATACAAACAGCACAACCTAAATTGTCAGCCTAAACCCCACCGTCGGCTATAGCGAGGTCCACTTGCGTGCTCCTTGCGAAGCATTCCGACATTACATATAGAGACAAATGACGGATACCTTGGCGCATCGAGGACATGACGGGCCATGATTAACGATGCGGCAATGGGCCACACATGAAAAGAAACAAAGGAAAAAGTGTAAATTTGAAAACAAAGTGAACAAAAAAGAGAAATATTGATAAAGTGCAAATAAACAATAACGATAACGAATAGAAAAAATGAAAACAAAGCAATACATTCATTAAAAAGACGAGGTCACCCTAAGCATCCACCACACTCCAAACTGACTATAAAAGAAAGCGTGAGCTTCACACACCTTTAAAGAAGCATGCACACAGATGAAACAATAATATTCCATCTGTGTGAATGGCTCTCCTGATCTGCAACTCTCTAATTAGAGAGTTTTGTAAGATCTAGTGGCTAAGGTACTCGGCTGCTGACCCGCAGGTCGCGGGTTCGATTCCCGGCTGCGGCGGCTGCATTTCCCGATGGAGGCGGAAATGCTGTAGGCCCGTGTACTCAGATTTGGGTGCACGTTAAAGAACCCCAAGTGGTCAAAATTTCCGGAGCCCTCCACTATGGCGTCTCTCATAATCAAATGGTGGTTTTGGGACGTTAAACCCCACAAATCAATCAATCAGAGTTTTGTAAGAGGAAAACCACGAAGCTTGAAGAGCGAAGAAATGTGCAAGCTACCAGGGCGCATGCGCATAACCGAAGCCACATGAGGGTTCCCGTTCGCCCAAACACGGTGTACCCCAAACTCAAACAACTAGAGCGGGTCCCCAAAACGTCTTGGGTTGCCAGCGCGATGACGTAGATGCCGCGTGGGCCATGATGCAGAGTGGCAACCTTCTCACATCATCTTGTGGCACCCTTCTCACATCGTCTTAATTTTTCCTCGTGTGGCTTCCCGTGCGTTTGACCCCACACCGCCTCCGTTGGAATGAGCTCCCAAACTCTGCTGCTGCTCCGACCACAAAAGCAGCATATGCTCAACGCAGCTTGGGGACCCAGTGTCCTGGGTCCCCAATTCTAAAACTCTTGGAGAAACTCTTAGAGAGTATTAAAATTCGGGACTTTGCTGGATTTGGGACCTTGTTGTGTCACCGTTGCTGGAATTGTGGATTATTTGAGCACTTAAATAACTAAATTCAGGTGGACGTCAATATGTGATGACTCCGCCCTTTGAAACTGACTTGGAGTAGCCCATCGCTAACAGAAAAACAGCACTTATATAGTCACTTTCCAAGCACAAGGAAACTGAGCACTTGTATGAGCCTGTAGTGTAGTGGTAACACTCCTCTGAAGGTCGAAAGAGCAACATTCTCTTATTTCTGTATTTCTTCGCTTGATTGAAGTTCCTTCATTTCTGCCTTCCTTCCCCCGTGTATGTATGTATGTATGTATGTATGTATGTATGTATGTATGTATGTATGTACGTACGTATGTAGGTATGTAGTACACACGAGCGTCCAGGTGTGAGCATAAGTGTGCAGACCACAGCATCGCGCGCCGAAGTCGTCGACGCACAATCAAGCTACCAGACGCCTGATGCGGTGCGCAAGCACATCGCGTCGTATCAGTTGGCCTCTCATGTTGTTCTCTTCGACGCACTCGTATATCCAAAACAACTAGGTGTTGCTTTCTTTACTCCATCAAATTTTCGCCATCTCTTTTTTAGAAGTGAAACAGCTCTTTGACTAGCCTGTGTAACGCTGTCCCGCCATCCGCACCGCGCTCCCCTGGCCGTAGGTGTTGGGCGGTGCCAAGTAGGTCAGGCTTTCGCTCGCATGGCGCGCGCAATGCGGTCACTTTCTTTCTTGCCTGTTGCCTCTCCCCGCGTGTCATCTCTCTCGCTTTACCCTCTCCACCAATCCCAACGTTCGGGTGCACATCGAGCGAACAGTCTTTCTTCCTTAGGAATCATCTGCGGAGCGGCGCACACGACAGGTACATGGTGCGATAGCTCCATACTCCACGGGGGGCGCCACGGTAGTTTGGCGGTATAAAATCACAGAGCACGAGAGCACGCGCGCCTCCACCTCTCCTGCTCAACGCCACGAAGAGCGCCAGCATCGACGCCACCGCCAGTGCCAGCGTTAGCACCAGCAAAATCTCTCAATAAAGTACACCATCTCACGCTCAAGCGAACAATCTCCCACCGCTTCACATGCACACATGATTTGATTCCCTTTAGCGAGAGATGGTCTAATTTCCTTTTCTTTGTGTAGCGGCTGCGATGGGGCCGGCTCCAGCGCCGGGCTCACGTCGTTAATTATACCGGCTGATTAGCACAACTAAGCGTAGCCAGCCTCGCAATACCTGATGAAGCCAAGCACACAAAATGTAGTTTTCTCAGCTCAGCTTGCATTTGTCGCCTTAAGCCAAGTTGAGGTTAAATAGGCCTAGTTAAGGGAATGTAAGTTTAGCTGAATTTAATCTAGCCTAGCTAAGCCCAGCATCACCTAATAAATTCGGCCGTAAGTAAGTTTATTGAGCCCATCCCAGCTTGCTGGTTTTATGTTAAGCGTAGTAAAGCTTCGATGCACCCAGATGGACCAAGAACAGTACACGTACAGCCAAATCCAATTAGGCATATTTGGTCAAGATATCATTTAATTTTGCCGAGACAGATTAGCACAAATAAGGTAAACCATACCATCGCCAGTTGATTCAAGTCAACTTCCCCATGAATCCAGAGGCACAACACCCTAGAAGATACTAATAACCACTTACTGACACTATACCTACCAGGTATGCTCATTTATATCTGTGTAGTGTTAGTTAGAGCGCGTAGAAGTTATGGCTGATTATTTATTCTGCATCCAATAACACACCTGAAAGACTGGAGTTCGTGGGAATTCAGGCGTCAGCGCCAGTCGATCAACGCCATTTTACCTTGGAGAGTTCTGGCGCCCCTTTCATCCCGAACGGACGGATGGCGGCTGGTCATAAATCGCTGTCACTTCGCTATCATCCCTGCTCCTCAAAATTTAACACGGTTTTCCATTGGATAAATTTTGGCGGGATTCAGGCTTTGCTCGCGCTCGCCCGACAAGTGGAGATGCAAAACAGGGTTGAGAGAGACCACTTCGGTATCTTGGAATGTGCGTATGCGTTTTGGCCTCACCAGCTGGCGGTGATTCTTTGTCCTTTGTTATTCGTCGCCGTCGGTCGGTGGTTACGTCGTCTCGTCGGGGCCCTGGCCTCGGCGGTCACGCGCTCCTCTCCTTGGTCTCGAAGTCCCAAAGCATCGCCTTGCGATCATGTACCGTATATTTCACTCAACTGCTGCTATACCTACTCTGCTTATTATGCATTCTCTGGGGTGTGCGATCGCGAGAGCGCTGACCGAAGGGCAAGTCGGCGCTTCGAAATTGGTTCTTTGTCTATTTGTTCACTTGATTGTTCTATAAATGCGCCATTTGCGGCCACTATTCAATATATCGGGAAACTTCTATTAGCTAATTGGTGTCTTGTGTAATTATGTCACTTACGATTGGTATATATGTTGATCGAGTATTCTCTATGTACCCGTAATTAACCAACCGCCCGTAATAAACCAACCGTTTTTGAAAGCGTAGCCGGGATTCTCCCTCGCTGCGCGTGCGCGGGCTTGCCGTCCCTTTGTGGCGATGGTCCGAGCTCGCGTGCGCAGCAGTACGAACGGTATTCAGGGTGCGACGAGACGGATGAACGACGACGCGGCACTCCTGTTTGGAGCTCGCAGTGCTCGAATCCACGGCTGTGTACGATGGCACTACAGAGAACAACACCACAAGTTTTGCGTGATATAATTATGCTAACTATGCATAACTAGGATAAAGAGGGAGCACCAAGATAAGCATAGAGAAATCTGACTACGCATGGTTAATCCTGGCATCGTCTAACTAGTGTGATAATAATTAGGTGCAAGCAAGCAACTTCGAAGTAAATACAAAGCAATTTAAGTTCAATTTCTTTGAGCACAAATAATCTAAGCTGAGGAGAACACTAATGACTAATCACCAAGTCTAGTAGCATTAGGTTGAACTACATTTAAATTGCCTTAAAACTGATTTATATTTATACCATAATAATCTTGCACAACTTTGTCAAGTAAAACTCCGGTATCTAGGGTGTGTGACTGTAAATCGGACAAATCAATCAGTCATAACTGCTACGCGTCTTCAGTAACAGCAATTAGACATGAATGAGCTTCACTGGCATAGTTCCGGTACAAAATAATTAGCATCTTTCTTTGTCGCCTTTGAGATCATTTTGCCCCGCCGCGGTGGTCTAGTGGCTAAGGTACACGGCTGCTGACCCACAGGTCGCGGGTTCAAATCCCGGCTGCGGCGGCTGCATTTCCGATGGAGGCGGAAATGTTGTAGGCCCCTGTGCTCAGATTTGGGTGCACGTTAAAGAACCCCAGGTGGCCGAAATTGCCGGAGCCCTCCTCTACGGCACCTCTCATAATCATATGGTGGTTTTGGGACGTTAAACCCCACAAATCAATCATTAACTAGGCTCAGATAAGTTCAACATGGCTAAACACGACAAAGGCAAGCTATGGTGCGATGCAGGATGGCCCGAGCTTCTCGGGCGACGAATTTGCTCCGAGATTGCTCAGTGGCGGCCGTGGCTTGAAGACAGTGGGGAGCACGTGAGAGAAGCGTTGATAAAAATGGCTACAGGAACGCACGTGGTGTTAGAAACCCATGTGGGGCATTTGCGACGGTTATCAATAAAACACCGCATGCGAACACTTCAGCGCCACCCCTCAGTAAACATTTTAACAGTGCAGCGATGTTAGCGTGATTTTTTAGCTATCTTTTTGCCGAATCAATAAGCGCCTCCCACAAGAGTGTTCGTAGGCATATGTCCTCTTTCGAGCAGGATTTTTTGTTCCACCTGCAGCATGAAAATTGCCACTCTCGATGTCAGCAAGGGTGCACACGCAGCACTCTCGTGTGCCTTGTTCTGCTTCTATCAAGTATTGGAGATATTTATAAGAGCAGGTGGTCACCAGGGGCGCTCGCATCATAGCGGCAACGCAGCTGTAATTGGATACCTCGTGAGCGCGGTGAAATTTAATACAAAACATCATAGCCGCCTCGTGATATCACTTTTACTTCTGCGTTCGTTTGTGCATAGTCTCCCCAATAAAGCTGATAGATTAACCTTGCCACTCGACGTCATTGCTGCTCCCCGGCACGAGCAAACGTGGTGGGCGTACTCGATTTGTGGGGTTTAACGTCCCAAAACCTCATTATGATTATGAGAGACACCGTAGTGGAGGGCTCCGTAAATTTTGACCACCTAGAGCTCTTTAACGTGCACCCAAATATGAGCCCATGGGCCTACAACATTTCCGCCTCCATCGGAAATGCAGCCACCGCAGCCGGGATTCGATCCCGTCACCTGCGGATCAGCAGCCGAATACCTTAGCCACTAGACCACCACGGCGGGGCGTGGTGGGCGTACTCGATCTTTGCCGCGGGTGTCTATCAATCAAACTGATGGACGCGTGCACTCGGATACAAACTCGTTGATTCTGAGAAGGCCCGAGTTCAACTCGGGACTGTGATGGTGCCAGTGTGACTGTCAAGCATTTGATGCGGTGAACGCTAAGCGGCAGCTTCTTTGCGTATAAAATAATTTGAGGAGCTTACACTACTTGTGCAAGGTTGGGGCCATGGAGCTCTTACGATAACCCAGCTGTCTTGCAGATTTTGATTGATATGTCGGGTTAAACGTCCCAAAACCACTCCTGCAGCTTTTTAAGTTGGTCGTCTACTCTTGTGCGTGATCGGCTTCGAAGTGAAGACTGCGTCATTTCTCTCTCAAGTTTGAATGAACAAATTGACTAAGGCTTAATGGCCATTACACTGAGCTGTCTTGTCTTCATTAATACGGCTTCAATTAAAATACAATTATCCCGGGCGCCATTAGCAAGACAGGCATTAGTATGAAGCTATTAAACACAATTCTGATTAGCACGATAATAATTATTATAGTATTAGTAAGGTCGAATTAGCATGATTTTGCTCGCCGTATGCATGATTAACGCCGCATTAATTAGCGCTGTTTAGTTAGCTCATCAACTAGAATGCATTAGTTAGTCCGGTTCTGGCTTTACATGACTTCATCTACGTTTGGCAGGACACGACTGTGAAGTCATCGCAAGATGCCTTCCTCAAAGGTCTGACGACAGGATTGGCTGCACCCTCGGGCAAAGGGGCCCGTTTGATCCTCGTACATGCTGGAAGCAGTGCAACTGGTTTCATCGAAGGAGCTGCTGACTACTTCCGAGCGAAAAAGGGGGGCAGCGCTGACTACCACTCTGAGATGGATGGCAGATACTTTGAGGAGTGGTTCACCGACAAGCTTTTGCCAAACATTCCGCCTAATAGCGTTATTGTCATGGACAATGCGCCATACCACAGCGTAGCTCTTGAGAAAGCACCTACCAAGTCGACGCACAAAGCTGATATTCAGCTTTGGCTCACAAAGAAAGGTGTTCCGTGGTCAGAGGACATGGTGAGAGCTGAACTGCTGGAACTTTCCCAAAAGGTCAACACACCCAGTATTGTGTACCGCATCGACACTCTGGCGGCTACCCACGGCCATGAAGTGCTTCGTGTACCACCATACCACTGCGAGTTCAACCCAATCGAGCTTGTTTGGAGCCAGGTAAAGGGGTACATCGCAGCACGGAATACGGGTTTCACTTTGGCTGAAGTAGAGAAGCTTCTGCCAGAAGCACTGGCATCTGTATAACAGGAAAAGTGGCAAAGCTGCTGCGCTCATGTAGAGCAAGTTGAAGCTGAAGCATGGGAACGGGACATGATTGTGGATAGTGAAATCGAACCACTTGTCTTCTGCATTTGTGATTCGTGCAACTCCTCCTCCGATGAGTCGGGTGCTCTGTTCAGTGATGACGAGTTGAGTGGCATTGAAGAACTTTGCTGACTTTCGAGGAATGTGCGGCCTGTCAGTGGTGGCTTTGTTGACGAGGGTCGACTGGTTGAGCTGGATTGTGGACACCTTTCTAGCGAACCTGCTCGTGCTGCTTCATGCTGAGCTCATTCCACCAAGAAGGCTGGGTTATTATGACAAAGCAAAGAGTGCTTCCTCATCGTGTGATTTTGTGTGTTGGGTTTAACGTCGCCAAGTGACCCGGGCTAGGAAAGACACTGCACTGTACTGCTCCCTAATAATTACCTTATTTATGTTTTGTTGTGAAGTGCAAACGTTCGGAATGGTCACATGACTTCTGTAAAAACTTGGTATAAAAAAGGAAAAAAAAGAAGATGTCGGAACCCACCGCGACATCGGCCAGAGGTGCTCTTCTGTAAATAAAGTTTGCGTTTTTTAAACCACAAAAGTCGTCATCCGTTTGGAATATTGGTCCATCGCACGCAATGAGTATTGCCCCTGGATGTATGTATGTATGGAACAAATCTCCAACTTTTTGAACCAGTACAATTTTTGGGCACTGAATTACCCTATACCATAAAGATTTTCTCAAGCGAGAAAAACAGGCCATATCCAGGTTTTTATAAAAAAACGATTGACGCATAAATTAAAATTTAGAGTTTCTGCCGAATAACAGCCTAGCTGAAACTCTCTTTTGAACGATAAAAAAGGAACTCTTACTTGCGGGAAGGAGGATGGGTTGGAATTATACTGAAGAAATAAATCGCGCATAACAATTCACAAAAATGTCGCATATATTAAGACAGTAAACGGGCGAATACCAAGTCTAGGAAATGTTTTATGCGTTTGTGTGCCAAAATCACTATTCCGAGCTACACAAATTTGCTTTCTTCCCTTTTCCCTGAATAACATATCATTCGTCACTCGCACGAAGTGCGTCGGGATACCGCACAGTGCAGTGGAAGGTCGATTCCGCACTGTTTCGCTAAAACTGAACAGGTTTCTCTGCCGGCGGCCCGCTATAATCAATAACCTGCTGAGTGTTTAAAGAGCGGCACAGAAAAGTGGATCATCGGGGCAATGACGAAAACAAAAGTTGAAGGTGAGCACCTCTCGTTAACCCAGCCTCATTGGAGCTGCTGCGCTACCTAATCAATGAATTAACGTCATCTTACACGCAGTACTCGCTCACATCAACGAGGTAAACCGACAATGCGGTATAATCGCGACAAAATCGCCATGCTGGTCAAACCTCGGTGCCAGCTCAGCAGGTTCCGGCCCTCACAAGGGAACACGGTATGCTGCAAATGAATAGATACGTGCAGTTCACTTCCGCGTGCAAGTAAGTTGAAGTTACTGAAAAAAAAAAACAAGATTTTGAATTGAACTCGCAAAAATTATAAAAAAAAAATTGCACCACGTGGATTCGAACCCATGCACTTCAAAACTACGGCGAACTTTCCGGAGCGACGCGTCAGACCACTCGGCTACGAAACCGCGCGGAGCAACACCTCGTGTTTTCTTTACGGACTACTTGCCTAGCCTTCACAGCGTTGCACCTGATGTATGAAACGGAGTATACATAGCGAATGACGAAAGTGTTAGAGATTTCCTTGAAGCATCACAAGACGATTTCTTTAATACGTCATCGGGTGTCGTGGATCTATGGAATAAACTAAAATTCTGGAATCACGCATTGTGAATCAACCTTCATACCTACTAAGCTAAAAAAAACTAATCGTAAAACGCCGTGGATTACGAGAAACATAATCCACCTAAAGAGAAAAGTACAACGACTCCGCAAACATAAAAAGAAATCCGCTGCGCTCAATGAGCTTTCATGCCAATTAAAAACGGAAATAAACATGGCAAGAGACCACTTTTTCTCAAGCACTCTGACTGAGTTTATGACAAATCAACCACGGTAATTTTGGAAGTACTTATCAAATCCAAATAGCATAGTAACTAAAATGGAAATATCGGGTAGTCTTGTTGAAGATGCACGGATTATTGCAGACGCTTTCAACATTTACTTCCAATCAGTTTTCATGCGTACGCAGCCTTCATTTTTACCGTCGTCTAACAGTGAAAATCACATGCCAGACTTAACAATAACATAGTCTGGCACACTTAACCTGCTTCTTCAACTCGATGTCAAAAAATCGCAAGGCCCGGATGAAATTTCTAATGCTTTTCGTAAGCGCTATGCCGCTCAGCTAACCCCTTTTCTGCAAAAGATATTTTCCTTATCATTAGAAACAGCTGTGCTGCCTGATGAGTGGTTGTGTGCAAAAGTAATTCCTATCCATAAAAGTGTGAACAAACAACTGATAAACACATACAGGCCAATATCACTGACAAGTACATGCTGCAAACTAATGGAGCATATAATAAACAAAGCACTTATGAATTATCTAGAGGAAAATAATCTGCCTTATCCGAACCAACATGGTTTTAGAAGGAAGCTTTCGACCACTACACAACTTTTAGAGATTACTCATGACTTTGCTTTAGCTATTGATTCTAGACTGCAAATAGATGCAATATTTATTGATTTTTCTATGGCATTCGACCGCGTTCTGCACTCGTTGCTCATACAAAAACTTGAACCATTTGGGGTTGACTCAAAAATCGTCCATTGGATTACCGCTTATCTTTCCAACCGCACCCAGTATGTTTCTTTTAATAATGTCGAGTCCGACCGTGCCGACGTGTTCTCTGGTGTTCCCCAAGGGTCCGTACTAGAACCAACACTCTTTCTCATATACATCAATGACATCTACACAGCTATGGAACCAGGTATTACAATGAGGCTTTTTGCAGATGACTGCGTCATATACTCTCCCACTAGCACAACAGAAGACCAGGTGAAACTTGTCGAATCTATAGAAAATATTGGGCAATGGTGTGAAAAACATGGTATGCAAATAATACAGACAAAACTATGTGCTTTACGATTTCCCATAGAAAGACACCACTTCACTTTCAGTACAACTTCTCTGGGGCATACATCAAGCACGTAAATACCGTAAAGTACCTGGGGGTCACAATAACATCATCGTTAAAGTGGGATGTCCACATTAATCAAATTTCTGCACGTGCATTTAAACAACTAGGTTTTTTAAAGCGTAAACTAACCGGAACTTCTCCTCAAGTTAAACTAACAGCGTACAAGGCGCTCATTAGACCCATCCAGGAATATGCAGCTAAAGTTTGGAACCCGCACTAAAAGAACATGATTGATGCATTGGAAAAGATTCAAAACCGGGCTCTTAGGTTTATTTTTTCAAAGTATGCCAGGCGGGAGAGTGTTTCCGCGCTGCGTTTGCAAGCACGTGTCACAACTCTTGCTAGCCGACGACAATTAGCCAGCCTGAAATTTCTTTTTCTTCTTTGAAACAACCTAATAAATTTAAATAAGGATGATTACCTTAAAGCTCTGCACCGTCACTCCAGTAGAACTAACAGTGACAAATGCATACGCCCATTCGTGTCACGTTGTAACACGTTGAAGCATTCTTTTTTTCCCGCAGCTATAGAGATGTGGAATGACTTGCCGAACGACGTTGTCAGTGCACAATCACCTGAATCATTTTCATCGCTGTTGGAAATTCACTTAGAGGCATCGCAATAAATCCTGTGCTATCTTCGCCGAAATAAAGGTTTAAACAGTGCATCGCGCATGTGCTCCCACATTGCTACATGTGCTTAACCGCCTGCATCTGCATATCAATGTTACCGTTGATGTTATCATTTATCATGCTAAGTAGTTTTTTTTCAGTGAAACACATGTGCATTGTTCATTTATTGCTTTATACTGTTATATAGTTATTTTTCTTTGCGATATGAAGTGTTATTTGCTCTGTACGCCCCCTCCTGTATAGGCCTGATTGATTGATTGATATGTGGGGTTTAACGTCCCAAAACCACTATATGATTATGAGAGACGCCGTAGTGGAGGGCTCCGGAAATTTAGACCACCTGGGGTTCTTTAACGTGCACCCAAATCTGAGCACACGGGCCTACAACATTTTCGCCTCCATCGGAAATGCTGTATAGACCCGAAAAGGCCCACAGTATTGAATATATAAATAAATAAGTAATATATAAAAGACTTGGTACTTCAAAATCCATTTAAACACCCCGCGCCTCTAAAAAATGACACTTTTATTGCATCGGTGCACTTCTGCACTCAGTGGAACGATAAACAAATGAAACAAGATGCCTCTGGTTTGAAAAAACCGCCCAACTTAGTCGACCATCGATGACTCGATAACTGGTCTTATTGTAACCAACGAAACGCAGCGCGCTGGGGGGTGGATTTGACTTTTTCCTACTGTTGGCATGTTCAAAAGGGAGTGTCGCCAGACTCGGGAATATCCCGAGTTTCACAAAACTCAGCCGATCCTGCATAGCGCCCCTGAGCTGAGAAAACTTAGTTTTGTCTGCTTAACTTCATCAGGTTTTGCTAGGCTGGCTGCGCTTAGTTATGCTAACGAACCTGCATATATAACGACGCGAGCCCGACGCTTGAGCTGGCACCATCGCAGCCGCTACGTGAAGAAAAAAAAAGAAACTGCACAAATCTGATGGAGCACAGACAGCGACACCCAGTTGTCATTCATCAGAGACCGACTGATACGATGGGACGCGCATGCGCACTGCAGCAGGTGTTTCATCGCTAGATGGCGCGTCAATGCTTTCGGCCACGTGATCCTGTGTTTGCCCACTTGTGCTCACGCCTGTATACGTACGTACTTACGTACATATGCATGTATGCATGTACGTATGTATGTATGTATGTATGTATGTACGTATGTATGTATGTATGTATGTATGTATGTATGTATGTATGTATGTATGTATGTATGTATGTATGTATGTATGTATGTATGTATGTATGTATGTATGTATGTATGTATGTATGTATGTATGTATGTATGTAATCTTTGAGTCGTCTTCATGCTAGGCATCGCACAACGACACAATTTTCCCGCCTTCCTAATTATCTTTATTTCTTGATGTGCCGCTGCATCAGCTTGAATCTGTGCCAACTTTCGCGTCATGCGAGTCCTTGCTCTCATTTGGGGTTTTCCCTAAGCATACAAGTGGCACACAGTCTTTACATGTTCTAGTGGACACCAGATTTGCGAGCCGGTCAAGGCTAGCTTAGAATCAGAGGCAGCGCACTCGCGAGCCAACTCACCACGGCAGAAACTGCGGGCTTGCACAACCAAGGATGGCGACAAAGAACGCGGATGTGTATCGGTCATGACTGTAAACCGGCCTTCCCCGGGCAGCACCCATCAGTCACCTTAACGTTAAAAAGAAAAGCTGGTAGAGTAGAGTGTCCCAGCCGTGGCATAAGACCTGTATATTTTACACGTGGCCCCACGCAATTTCAGTTTTTCCCCGGATATGACGACGCTTTTTGTGCCTCTACCGTTGAACCGTTGATCATCGAAACGTTTTCTTCGAAGTTCCCATGCCTTTCTCAGATTTGCAGCCATGTTATGCCACTTCACACATATACTTACGTATTTAGTTTTTTTATCCTCCAAACTGACATCTCGTTCCTTGCAATTTCCCAGTGGTTACACTGGCTTCACCATAGCATCTTTTTGAAATTTGCTCAAATTTTTATTTCTTTTTTTAAGCGTAAAAGGCAGTTATCGCAACCTGTTACAATAAGTTGGAGGTTGAAACTGAGTGGTGGCAAAATTTTTTCAAGTTCGTAGCATATAAAGCGTTCCGCCCGTATCCCTTGCGCTTGTTGCGAGTTTCTACCCTTAAATCTGTTTGCTTCTCACTGATCGGGTTGTATCTGGCCAAGTTTGGTCAGTAAATGCTTAGCAGGAGTTTTTAGCCCTGAAAACACAACTAGATATCTAATTGTGGCCATGGCACAAACCATAATTTTATTGAACAGTGTGCATACACGGGATCTAAATCTAAAAATTTGGCAAAAGGCGCAAGTTTATAACATGCACGTATCAGTTTCAGCCCGTAACTTGCCCTTAAGGGACACAACTAACTGTTTGAGACGTTGGAAACTCATTTTGGGCCCACAAAATCTCATAAACAGCGTGCGTTAATTGTCTTAGCCTACACGAGCCGAAGATTAACAGGGAGACAATTTCGTGCGGCTGTAGCATGGTCGAATGGAAAAGACGACATTCCGCGAATGACTTCAACGATTTCGCTACTTACCTAACTCAGTTCTTCACTGGTATCTTTTATTGCATTGTTGAGGCAATTAGAACGATAACTGCAGCACTAACAAACATCGACTGGAGGAAAAATAATGCTGCATATGCACTGCATGCTTTCACAGCGGGCGTGGACAGCACCACTTTTTCATTCCTGTTATGATTACAACAGGTAGTTTTCGACCAGCAGATCTCAGGATACGTGAGCCTAGGACCATGGCTGGCAATAAAGAGGGCTGAAATTGGCTTCCCAGGCTTTGTGTTTCTTGAATGTACGCATGCTGTTTTCGAGAAATAACACTTCAGAGGTTGGTACATTAATCGTGTGCAGTGAAAAAAAAAAAAAAACACGCGGGAAACGGCGTAAGGAATGCATCGGGCACCTTGTTCGAAAGCTTCCTCACGAGAGAGACCCTAATGTAGTCAGCCTGCTTCTGAGTTCACAGACAACATCCCTCGTTTTATAATAAAATGAACTATATGTGTGCCCACAATATATATATATATATATATATATATATATATATATATATATATATATATATGTGTGTGTGTGTGTGTGTGTGTGTGTGTGTGTGTGTGTGTGTGTGTGTGTGTGTGTGTGTGTGTGTGTGTGTGTGTGTGTGTGTGTGTGTGTGTGTGTGTGTGTGTGTGTGTGTGTGTGTGTGTGTGTGTGTGTGTGTGTGTGTGTGTGTGTGTGTGTGAAATCTAACAGACAGTAATGCCAAGGAATGTATAGAAGAAGTTATTAGACCAAATTGTAAGGTAAATGTGAAGAAAGAAAAGTGGGTGACAATACAACTAGCCGTGGGCAGGAACCGACCCTGTGACCTTTAAATAACGCGTTCGATGCTGTACTACTGAGCTACCATGGCGGCTATCCTCCCAGCCACTTTATTGGGTATATATGTGAATTTAAACGTGGGAGTGTCAGTCAGCGCCATCTTTAGCCTTGGCGGCGAGTGTGGCACACTATTGTATTAGCCTGTGTGGTGTCACGTAGCACGTGAACTTATTACGAGTTGGCAGCTGACCAATAGTCCCTCGTATGCAACCTAAGGCACCAAGTCTGCCTGTACGAGGCCCTTGTTAATGAATAAGAGAAAGATGTGTATACTTAAGGGCTCGTGTTTCCGTGCTTTGACACAATATTATTGCAATCTAACAGACAATGATGCCAAGGAAAGAATAGGGGAGGTCATTGTAAGGTAATGTAATTGTAAGGTAAATATGAAGGTAAATTGTAATTGTAAGGTAAATATGAAGAAAAAAAAGTTGGTGAAAAGATAACTTGCCGTGGGCAAGAACCATGGGAAGTAATTTTTTGATCCGCTTGTCTCGCTTCTTATTTACATTAAATTGGTTCTAATAACTTCCCCTATACATTCCTTGGCATTATTGTCTATTAAATCTTATTAGTATTGTGTCAAAATACAGAAAAACGAGCTCTTAGCTATATACTGCTTTCCCTTATATATATGTATATATATATATATATATATATATATATATATATATATATATATATATATATTCTTGAGTGCCATCTAGAGTGTGCCGCGCGACGAGGCATCCCTAACCCAACATGGGAGCACCCAGCAATGGCCCTCTGCGCTTTGGGGGAGAAAGGAAGAACACAAAGAGAGATTTTTTTTCAAACACTGTCCCAAGACCTCTTGTCCGAGTTTGACCATCGCCTCACACATATGAAGGTTCATTGACCAATGAATTTATAGGCCCACGTTTCGCATCCCTCCTTTTTATTATCTTTGTTTTGTAAATGTACATGTATTATTCATGTACAACCCAAGGTAACTCGGTAAAAAAAAATAACATTCCGAGATCCGTGGTGTTGCTGCTCCCATAACATATCATCGTTGAGCATTCTACTTTCGCAATCCTTGTCTTGTTCACTCTCTCTGCATTTATTCTGCAATACGGTATCTATTATAATGAGCGCCTGCGGGAACTGTTACTACGTCGATGGTAACACTAATGACCTTTTTTCCCTTCTGTAACCAATATTGCCCTTCGCCCTTCATCAGCGAAGGGTAGCCGAGTGGGCTCAGCGCCGTTCAACATCTCTGCTTTTGTTCCTCCTCTCCTCTTCCGTATTTTTTCGCCCATAACGTTGACCCGAGCTCTTCGCGTACACCTGTGTGTCGTGTGCCATCGCCCTCGTCCCCCGTGCAATAGGCGGGGAGACCGCTACATCGCGTTCGGATGCTTTATCCTGCTATTGCAGTCTTTTGCGACACCTAGCCACGCCATCTACGACGGCGTATGCACGCCGCCAAGACGCACAAAGGCAAAAAAGACGAAAGAACGGAAGACTGGGCGAGGAGGGGCGAGGAGGGTGCAAGAAACGAGCGCACACACAGGCGCGCCGGCCGGGACGGCACCACCGCCGGAGGCGGTGTATCCTCGCGGCAAGAAAAGCAGCCCTGCCAGCTAGCCCACCGAGCCAGTCGCTTCCTCAGCCCGCGACGGTGTAGACGTCGCGGACGCGCACTCGTCGTCCGGTCCTAATAACTGCTGGCGAGCCACGACAATCAGCGCCCATCGCGAACCATGGTAACAACACCGGGGAGCGGCAAGTCGACGACGACCGTGGTAGGCCCTGCCACTGTCCTCGCACTGCTCTTCATTGCAGGATACACCGGCTGTGTCGCGTCCGGCCCAGGTGAGCCGTCGAAGGGGGGCGTCGTGTTTCCCCAGAAAAGGCGTAAAGTGTGTTTTGTCTCCAGTTGATCGCAGTCAACACTAGCTGCTGAAACTTTCATCAAATATGCTTCGGATCGTTGATCGATTATGGTTATATAGGATGACAAATACCTGATTGCAGAGGCTGCGGCCCGCACGAGACAGGACGTACAGTCAGCGTCATGCTTAACAAGAACATATCTGAAGCACCTTCTTGCTTCTCTGGTCGATCATGCGGAAGATTTCTGGTACAGAATGCATATAACGGTCTGGGCTTAAGTTAAATCCTTTTGACATTTGCTACTTTCAACTTTTTTTCTTTTTAAAGATCAAGCCGTGGAAAAGTAACTTGGTTGCTCTGTTTGTGCCTATTGCTCATTTGAAGTACAATGATTACAGACTGCTGCTCTGAGCAATAGCTCAAAGTTTTAACTATTGTGTTCGAGCGGCAGTATTTTCGGTGCAGCTTCGCCATATGACCAAATTAAATTGGAAACAAGGTAATGACAAGTGTATGTCCAGAAAGCACATGACCACACGAATGTTGCGCAACGTCATTCGATCATATGGCACTGACAGACAGCAAACTGTTTACGCAGCGCAGGTTTAGGTGGTTGTACACTTATCCGGTAAAGGTGTAAGGAACGACCATTGCAAAACTCCCCTCCCTAGAGAAGCCCCTCTGACAAAACCCATCTTTTCATTTCGGCTTCTCTGAACAGTTACGATTGACGCTTAGTCCACAACTCCGTTTCACGTCTCTACCTTGGCCTGCGTGGAAGCCAATCAATGCGGGAGACTTACTTTTCGGTCTGTGCCATCTAAGCTCGAGTGCCAGAAAGAGCACCTAAAAGGTAGTGCCGGAAATTAAGGCTCGTGCATGTCTGCACTTTCGCTTCGGACGAACAAGTAACAGTGTTGCTGCCTGTTTTAAATTCTGCTTTCTGAAAAAGCTGCAGTGACATACGTGACAATGCACCGACTTGGCTGCAGCGATCGAGTTTTTGTGAAGCTCTAAATACACACATATCAAACTGCGGTTTTTAAGTGCTACTATTCGAAGAATATACAAGTAGTTTCAATGCGTAGTGACAGTGACCGCTTTCGCACGACGACCATCATAGGGTAAAAAAGATCAGCTAAACGTTGCACTTTTTTCCCACTCTTGCATTCCTATACCCTTACTTCTCAATTGAACATGTATGTGATGTTCTTTCTTTTTTGTGTGTTCTAATTCTAATCAAAAACTTTCGTGTGAAACAAAATACTTGTTCGTACTTTCTATGATCTACGAAGTCTTGTACTGTATTAGCATCGGAACAGTACAATATGATAAGCAAATCCAACATCTGGTGCCTCCGTACGTACGTGTTCTCGCCTGGCCCACGTGCCATAATCACACCGGGTGGGACCTTGAGGCACGATATACGGAGCTATTCTCTATACACGTAGGTCTCATGGCTATAATCTGTACATTAAATAATAACGACGATATTTTCCTACGTCTCAGTCGTTTTCGTTCCTTAGTCCTGTGCAAAATACTTCCCCTTTCAGTATTTACGATCATCGCGCAGCATTCGACCATGTCAACTTCCTCACACGTAAGCATGTTCCCTATGGCTGTTTTGTTTAATAACAGTCACGAAGTTGGCTGTGACGTATACGGAAAGCCCGAAAGTGCTTTTCTGAAGAAATAGTGGATGGATTCGCATAACTTTGACCACCTGGGGTTCTTTAATGCGCAGTGAAGTCTCACTGTAAATGAGTCTTCATTTCGACTAATCGAAATCGAAATGCGACCGCCCAGCCCGTGATCGAAATCATGACTTTCGAGTCCGCAGCCGAACACCACAACCACTGGGTTCTCATAGCGGCAACTACTTTACTGATATTCTAGTAGAGTGTGTTCATATTTATATAACAAAAATAAAGCGCAATTGATGGGAGAAAAACGTGAGACAGATGGAACGAAGCGCTTCGTCTCGTCAGTTTGAGCTTTTGTCCCGTCTATTATGGCTTGTTTTCGCCAAATATGCATCACCAACTGGCCGAAACTTCCACTCTTCCAAAGTAGAGAGGAACGCGTTTGATGCTGTAGTACTTGAACTCGACGATTGCGAGAGGCTCACATTGGTACTAAGCATTTTCTCACTTTACCTTGGGACGCGCACGACCACGTAGTAATAGACTATTGTCTGGGAGATATCGCGAGTTAGTCTCAAACCAGGCACTGGTATGTCAGGACTGTCTTCGTAGCTCTCTTTGGCAAGATAAGCACCTCCTGTGCCAAAGTAATCGCTTAAGAAATTTTGCCGGTAAAAGTTGTTGTCTTCACAGGCGTAACGTCAATCTCACGACTATGCACCATAAACTTGGCGTGGGAGATTTTCCAATGCTCTCACCAAGTTCAGCTAGCACCGTGGAAAGTCGGAATAATTTCACTCTTTAGGGGAGTTCTTGGCGTGCATGCCTTTGCAAGTGGCTGTACAGTTGTGAGAAACGTCGTTTTATAGAGCGCTCCGAAGGCGCGCTTTGAAATACGCCATCGACAGCTCCGCCGGGGTGGTCTAGTGGCCAAGGTACTCGGCTGCTGACCCGCAGGTCGCGCGATCGAATCGCGGCTACGGCGACCGCATCCTCGATGGAGGCGAAAAAGCTGCAGGCCCATGTACTCAAATTTGGGAACCCGTTAAAGAACCGCAGGTGTTCGAGATTTCCGCAACCCTCCACTACGGCGTCTCTCAAAATCGCATGGCGGTGTTAGGACGTTAAACCCCACATATCAGCGAAATCAGTGCGCAGCCGACATCATTGCTGATAGCATCTTGCTCGAGATACTTAGGAGGTGCAGAACGTTTTTTTTTTTTTTTTTGCTTTGCTGGTCGGCGCGCTTTTCCACACCTGCAAGCGACTGCGATAACCAGTGAAAGTGCCGCAAGGCCGCAGAATAACATGTTCTGGCCCAACGCTTCTTTTCGTTTTCAGCAACTCTGCGGCGAAGCATTCGCTTTCATTATCTCGTACTGCCGGCCAATTGTAATTAGTACTATTGTACCTGAACAGCACGTTCCCTTTCATTACAGAGCTTGACAATTTGCCACTATCACTGCTTATATGTTTATCAAGCTTACTCCATTAGTCACATGCGATTAGTCGTGTGGAAAGTGGTTATACGAGGCGGCCCGATGATCTTATATTTGCATAAACATTGAATAAGAAAGCACACATTCTTGGAACAGTTATGCCACCTGGAATGTCTCGATTGTGCTTGCAACTCACTTGAGGGCTATACTTCCTACTAGTATTTATTACCAACAGAAAATGACACGACACGCACTCACACACACGTATATATATATATATATATATATATATATATATATATATATATATATATATGTGTGTGTGTGTGTGTGTGTGTGTGTGTGTGTGTGTGTGTAAGTGTGTGTGCGTGTGTGTGTGCGTGTGTGTGTCACTTTCACCGCTTGCCTCATCGCACCGTGCACGCATGTTACCACGCACGTGATGAGCGAAGAAACTGCATATATACGATGTGTTTGAGTAGCAATAACTATTTGTATAAAAACTCTCCGCATCGGACGATCAGTGGATATGATGCTCTGCTGCTCGCCTGGAGGTCGCGGGCTTGATCCCAGCCACGGCGGGCACATATCCGCGGAGATCAAATGGCAGAGGCCCGTGTACTGTGCGATATCTGCAGTGCACTTTAAAGAACTTCAGATGGTCCAAATTTCTGGAGTGATCGATTACAGCATCCCTCAATATCATATGCCATGGTTTTTGGACGTGAAACTCCCTATAATAAGTAAATGAGTGGGAAGTAGTGCTCTGTCAGGCGTTTCTTTTTTGCTATCCTTGCCTTTATGCTTTCACCACTGTGAAAAGCTCACAATACCACCGTGCACCTTACATATAACATCTAAATTAGCTGTTACGAATTACACGCTTCGTAAACCAGGTCCCGAACGTTCCACGGTTCGCAATCTGAATGAATGCATTAAGAGATAAGAATATACCTCTTTCACAACCACCGATGAACAAAAAAAAAAAGACACCCTTGTACAGTGCCCGCCTAATGAAAATTCGGCCAACGTGGCCTTGGTATGACCAGATTCAGAACGCCAACTAAGCATATAAGAAGTAAAAGGGCAGGAGGCCTTGAGAAATGGCTAAGTTTTGTTTAGACGCATGTTCGAATCTTGCTTCGGGGTTACTTGAATGGGCCATTGTTGGAAATATCACCTTCTAACAGCAGTATGTGCGTTTTAAGTAGAGTGACTTGTTGGGCGAGTTGGTTTATTCTTACGGAAGCTTTTTGCGCAAAATAAAGACGAAAGCCGGTCAAGCGCAACTATCAGCTGATTTTATTCGGAAGGCACACACATATATATACGTGAACAAGGGGACAGTCACGAGTCACATTAGCAAAAAATAAATTCTATTAGTGGCAGGCGCTCAAGTAATCTAACTCAGGGGCATGGAACGTGATAGAGGGCCTCGCTACGCATGGTAGCGTTTCTCCGTCTCTCTTCTTTATTTCGCGCAAAAAGTTTCCGTAAGTACAGTGCTCAACTCGGTTGTCTATAACGACGGATCGTCACACGCGGAACAGCACGAGCGACATCTGCAGTCGCAAATACGTCACATCTGAGCATGCGCGGCGCCAATTATGTGCCTGCCCTGCAGTTTCTACCATTCTTTATCTCCGTGGCCACGATGGCTGCTTTGGCCGACGAAGCGCTGGCAACATTACAAAACCGAAATGAAACAACAACAAAAAAGAAATATTCTCGCTAGGTGATATCATATCACAGTGACAACGGTTTTGCTTCGTCTTTTTTTTTTTCTTTTTTTTGTTTTTTTTTTCGAAATCGCTCAGAGCGCTTTCGATGGCGAAAGCGGTTGTTGCCCGTGCTGTTTCGCGCACGACGCTCCGTCGCTATAGACAGCCGAGTTGAG